GTGTAGCATGTTGTCTGTTTAATAAACCTGTTATTTGGACCCCTGAGTTGGGTTGTGCTTTACTATGGTTCAGCCCCGCTCCAATCTCTGCTCCTCGCCCCTCTAATTTCTGTCTCATTTCTCCCTCTCCTGCTTCTGACTCACCGCCACCTCCAACACCTGTCCTGAGCTCCTCTCTGCCTCCAACCGCCCCTGTTTCTTTGCTACCGTCTTATCCCCACTGCCTTTCCCCCTGAGCAACCAGGTTTCTGCCTCAGTTTCTTTCCTGGCTGTCTCTTCCTTGCCACCACTTATTTGCCCCCCACCCAGTATCTCAGCTGTCTGCCTCAGTTTCCAACCCCAAGCTCCCAGGTTTCTGTCTCTCGCTCTTTCCTGGTTGTCTCCTCCTTGCCATCAGGCTTCTTTTTTTTTCTTCCCTCCCATGCACCAGTGACCTCGAGTAACCCTGGGGCCACTTGATTTTAAGTAAACCCAAGCCTCAGGTCCTCAGTCAACTTTTCTGTAGTCCACCAATTCTAATTCTGGTTCTGGCAACTTTCACTCCCGACACTTAAACTCTCTTTCTCTCACCTTAACCTTCCCCCAAGTATCCCAAGTACACACATATACCTATACCATACAAGTTAGGAACTTACCTTTATGTATGTGTAGGTGGGTTGTATGTGTGTGAACTGGTGAGTGTGTGTGTGTATACACATATATATACACATCTCATTGTGTGCATGATATACAAATTAGTGATCTGTGTATGTGTACTGAGTGTGCGGGTACTGGCAATTGTTTTTTGTCTAATTTTTAGTGTGCACGTGCTTGAATTGGTGCTAGGTATGCATGTGCCTAGGCTGGTTTGGATGTGTATGTGCCTGAGTCGGTAGTGTGTGTGTATATGCACATAATTGACTTGTGTGTTTGTATATGTGCAATTGTGTCACACCTTCCTGTCTAACAGCACAATATTGAGATCCTGAGAGTTGGCCTGACCCCACAGGGCAACACAAGCCTGCATGGAGCAGCCGCATCTGCCCCGCCTCACACACAAATCTTGGGGGGGACATGCCTTCCATGCCCCACTCCCTGGACGAGCCAGCTGCAGCTCCATCCCAACCCCTGCCCAGCCCCAAGCACTGGTCTGGCTGGGAAGTGCCCCCAGCCCCTGCCCCATTCCCTCCCTCACCATGGGGGCCTCCATCTACCTCCCTCCTCCCCCGCCTTTACCTCCACCCCTCCCATAGACTTACCCTAACTGCCCAGCTGTATTCCTGGCCATGTGGAAGTGTGCGGGTGGGCACATGCATGGTCCCCCCTGTATCCTGCTCCTGGCAGCCCCTAGCAGACTGGAGCACTGCCCTTCTGCAAGGGGGAACCTGCCGCTTCCCCATCCCTGCATGATGCTGCAAATCCAGGACAAATGCTGTCCCACAGTCATGCAACCTGGGACCGGGACTTGAGGTTCCCATTGTGGGACTGTCCCACTCAGACAGGGATGTGTGGTCACCCTAGTGCTCCCCCGTGTCCAACTCTCTGCGAGTGCATCCAGTGGCAGGAGCCGTTCTCCCCGATAAACTTACCTGCAGGCAGCTGGGCCCTAGCTTGCAGACCTCTTCTATTCTGTTTGTCTTTCTCCCTCTTTTTTGCCCAGTTCAGGCCTCAAATTTGCTGTCCCCAGCCCCTGGGTGAAGCTGGGAGCTGATTCGGAAAGGGCAGCAGCTTCAGCACACGTAAGGGAGCATGCCCAGCTCCCTGCCTTCAGTCTTAGCTCACTTGCTCCCAAAGGGCTCTCCCCCCTCCCACAGCAAAGAACTGAGAACCGAAACCGAACAGCCTGGATGGAGTCCCTCCCCTTCTGGGTGTGTTTCGGAGAAGGATGTCCATCAGGGGCCAGGTCCTGCTCTCGTGACACTGCTGCACGGATCAGAGGTCCAGGCAGCCCTACATGCAGCTCATGGGCAGAGGCAGGGGTAAGTAGCAGCCCCCCAGCCATGCTGGAGCTCCCCAACCCGCTGCCCTCCCCTCTCTGCGCTGCCCGTGCCTCCCTCCCAGTCTGTTGTGCTTTCAGCCACAGCAGAGCGCAGCTGTTGTTGGCGCCAGAGACAGGCCGGGAGTGCGGCGCTGCAGAGACCCAACAGCCATTAGAGGAAGGAGCTGGGCTCTCGGCCCCGCTTGGGAGGAAAGGGGAAGGGAGTGCAGTGAGCTAGTGCTGCATGTCGGGACTCCTGGGGTGTCTCCCCCAGGCAAATTGCAGGGCCACCAGACCTGGTAAGAACTGGGGTGTTTGCAGGGAGCCTAGGCACAGGGGTCTGCCTGCCTGCGCTCTGCTTTAGCAGGAGGGCTTGCCCTGCAGTTCTGGGTTAGGTGTCTAGCCGAACCCCAGAGAAACACCTGCGACTCCTGCACTACCCAGGTGGCAAATATAAGCTTGGAGGTGGGAGGAGAGTGTGGCAGGTTAGGTGTGGGAGCTTGGGGAGGAGCGTGTGGGTGCCCCGGTTCGTTGTCACCCTACCTGCACTCCTCACTCCCCCTCTGCTCTCCCAGCTCTCGCCAGGATGAAGGACGACGAGAGCCTGTCAGAGCCCCTGCTGGTGCCTGGGCAGGAGCGTGGTCCCTGTGGAAGCTCCTCCAAAGAGAAGCACACAGGAGTCTTCGGGAGAGTCAGGGGAGCCTGGGCATCCTGTTGCCAGGTGCCTGCAGCACCGACGTGGGTGCGAGGCCTGGCTCCTCTCACTTGGCAATGCTCTGTGTGGTTTCTGTTTTGCATTCTCCTGATCGTCATGTTGGCTCTGCTTGATCAGACATGGTTCTTGTCAAGCCCGTACAGGCACCAGAGCACAATGGTCATCGGGCGCTGTGGGCAGACCACGCCCTGCAGGCACCCAGAGCCGCCCCGTCCCCAGGAGCTGAGCGTCGGGAGCCTGCTGAGAGCCCGGAGCCAGGCCCAGCGCCCGGGGGCTTACCGGGACTGCCTGGACGTGGCGCTGCGCGAGTTCCGCCGGGAGCCGGCCATGGTGCAGAGCAACGCCCGGCTGATGCTGGACTGTAATGGGACAGCCCAGGCTTTCCAGTCTGGGAAGGGGCAGGCCCAGATCCAGGTGGCCTGGATCGCTGGCAAGGCAAAGTACAACATTCAAGTCAACAGCACTGAGGCCTACGTGTCCAGGCTGAAGCTCAGACAGTTCCCCCTCAATCTCACCAGCCTGCTAAGTGTGCAGCAGGACCTCACCTTCCGTAGGGCCCCGGAGCTGGTGGGACAGTGCCTGGAGCGGGCAGTGCAGGAGGTCTCACGGGAGCTGGAGTGCCTGCTGTGGGACGCTCAGCTGGTGGTGACGTGTGGGGGCGCCGAACTGACCTTCGTCTCTGGGGAGGGGCACAGAAAGATGAATGTGTATGCCGATGGCAATGGGACGGTCCAGTACTGGGAGCAGCCGGTCGGGGGAGTAGGGTTGGCATTTGGCGTCATGGGGCCAGATCCCCACTGTGGTGAATTTGCTGTGGCTCTATCAGAGCCACTGGGACCAAATTCCCAGGTGGTGCAGGACAGGCAGTGCCCACTGGGCTCTCCCCTCGCACTGACGTAAACCAGGTACCCACACTGTTAGAGTGTGTGGGCCCAGATCAGGTCGATCCCATCATGGTGGGCACAGCAGGTGTAGAAGTACAAAGCTAGCACTTCTGGCTGCATCTTTTCTATACCTGGCCTAGAAGGCAGGTGCTGGACTCAGGGTACTCCTGGGTTATGTTCCAGGCTCTGCCATTTTAAGCTATTCACTTTTCGTCTGATTCCCTTTTCACTGGATTAATTTTAACCAGTGGTGCTCTACCTTCTGGGCCTGTAGGCTGGGCGAGTGACACGGGGTCAGTCCGCAAGCCAGATCCGGCATGACATCACCATGCAGGGGCGGTTCATGGGTGCAATCCAGTACTCTGACCTGGCCCTGTGTGTTGGATCCTGCTGTGGAGCAACACCGTGTGCCAGATCTGGCCACAGGTCCACCCTGTACACCAGTATGGTCTGGCAGGTGGGGCCATGTCACTTAGCACACAGGACTCCCCATGAGGGAAGAAATTTGGCAGTGGGGGAATGGTGTCAGGATTAATTGCTGCAGGTCTGGGAACAATTCATGCTACCACTATTGCATTTAAAAATGGGTTTTAAAAATGAGTGCTTTAAGAATTGACACAACACTCGGTTGATTAATAGCAGGAAGGCTTGCTTTAATAACTACCAAAAGTCTATAAAACTAA